CACTAACCTTACCAGGATATTCACTTCACTGCAGCTTCAAAGGTGAGCATAGGACTAGCCCTATTCAACAGTTTTATCACATAAAGACAAAAATATATTAATCATTTCCAAGTCCATCCCAGAGTATGAATAGAAAGTCAGCCATGTGAAATCACTATTTGTCACCCAACAACCCTGCTGAATGCTGACTGAAAAGTTCACAACTTACTCAAATGTTTAACCCTAACAGTCCCAAATCCTCCAATTTCAATATGATTTTACACATAACCTGGGGGTTAGGGTTAAAATATCAGCATATCTAGAAAGAACCTAAGAGAAGACCTAAAGAAAGGGAATGCGTGAAGAATTTTCTGCGGTCAAAGTTTAGCAATAAAATTTGTTGAATTGAAATATTTTCCTTTTGTTTCTTTTTCTTTGTCTTTTCCCTATGGCAAGTAATGAAGAACTCTGAAGTGATACACAGGGACCTGTCTGATGTGATGATTGAATCCCCTGGTTACATATCGGTAAATTATGTTGCCATCAAGTACTGCAACTATATCACAGAAATGACAGATGTACTGGTGCTGTCTTATTCTCTCAACCTTCAATAATTATGCCACCTAGGCTCCTACACCCCCCATTTTGCTCACTGTGGACTCAATTTTACCTTGAAGTTTGCACATATGTTCCCCGCCTTTCTGTGAAACTCAAAGTATTTAATCATTGTGTACCCTGAACTATTTACACTTTTTTATGGGGCAAGCAATTGTCTGAAGTATCAAAGTTTTAACAACTTGCTAAAAAGGCAACGGATAAAGATCCAAATCTACATCCCTTCAATTTAAGCTCTGGATCAGAAGCCAGATCACTTAGACAGGTGCATTTCTTCCCCGGTCGTGTAAGATTTTCTTTTGATCATTTTTGGAAGGTGGCTGTTTATAATGAAGATGGCCGAAGACCGTCGACTGTGAGTCTATCTTTTGGGTGAGGCACCTGGAGGCCAGATACATATACTGACTGATGAGGTCCGTCATCGCCATGGTAACACCGAGACAACGGCTTCCAGAGTGGATTCAGTGGTATGTATATTTTTGTAATATAAAGGAGTTTTAGGAAGAGTGAAAAAAGTAAACTTGCTTCTCAACCTCCTTGATTTCTTTTGTCCTCAGTGCTTGCCTTTTTTTTGGGGGGGGGTTAAATTATGGAGGCACTTGGACATTTTTCTGGCAACCTGTGCTAGATGGAGTCTCTTCATTCTGGGATAAAATTGTCGTGGCCCAAAAAGCTGCCTTCATTTAAAAGGAAAAAAAGGGGAACAAGAAAGTTTTTAATATGTTGCAAGAGTTTAGAGCCTGTTTAAATCGAAAAGTAACTTGTAATATAATTGTAAATTGCTGTAGTGAATTGTTCTTTTTTTTTCTTGGTATTTTGTCAGTTCAGGGGTGCCAATTAAAGAAAGGGCATGGATGCTGTGGAGTGGGTGGAGCATATGCTGGATGATGAACACGTTCACTGATGACATCTCCATGGCAACACACATGAAGTAAAGACACCTACTTTGAGGTACACAAGGCAGCTTGATTGGACTGTCAAAAATGCTGCTCAAAGTGCTATTTCAAGATTTGATTGGAGGTTGGCAACTTTGGTCGTTAAAAACTCTTCTCTACAACTGAATGGTCTCCACATGGGTCTCCAGAATTGCATACATTCCTCTGTCTGTTTAAATACCAGGTTAAATGCACTTGTATATTTTATTCCCAAAGTTGAATTTGTAACCATGTTCTAGATTCTTGAAAACATTGCTTTGACCTTGAGACTTGCATCTTTTAGGCATTTCTGTACATCCAAAAAATCCTGCCATGAACAAGACAGGAAAAAAATGGCCTCTCCCTAAAAAAAAGCAGTTAGAAACCGTCAAAGTCATGATGTGGCAGTAGTTCTGTGGCACTCATTCTTAACAAATTATGCTCTGAATTTCTCTGCAGTTTCAAAATGATGTAAGCTAGGAAAAGTAGTTGTGAGAATTTAATGATTATTCCCTGTGATTGTTAATTAAGCGGCATAATTCATTAGATTTCAAAGTGATGGGTATCAACAATACTCTTACATCATCGAACTATCCTGTAAAAGTCAAGATGTTTTCAGCATAAAACGTCCCTGCAGCAATTGTAATTGATACGATAATCTTGTGTCAAAACGACTATCCTACTGTTTACCCTTTTATTGTTTACTTTTAGCACATGCTTTGGTGAAGACCAAAATTTAGACCAAAGTTGCTTCATATGAACCAGTTTTAGTGGAAGTTTTAAACAATTTCAGTTCTCTCCATTTATGCCTTGTCCGTATCATTTTCAAGCACTGAATATTTGTAATGTGTGAGTTTAATAATGCTGCATTGCAGCATTAGAGCGATGCTTATTTTCATAACAAAATTGAAAGACTAAATCTGTAGAATGAGTGGCAAAAAAGAAGTTTCTATTTCCAAAAACGAATTTGCATTTCCAATTCTATGCCATTCCCGGATTGGATTGAGTTGAAAATGACTGTTATGGACGAATAATTTTTTTTGAATGGTCTGAAAGTGAAATCAATATTTTGGGCAAGTGACCCTGATTTGATGGAATTAAACTTTGTTATAACTAAAGCAATCTTAAGTGAAAGAAGTGCATAAACCTATGCTAAGTTGGAAAAGGCCAGCATGCAATACTTGAGCATGTGCGTCACTTTGATGCTACAAACGCTTTGCAAAGTAGTCAAGCCAAAGTAAAGCTCTTGTGTTAAAAGTTTCTTAGCAGTTTTATGGACGCATAATCTGTACGTAGTTTAATAAGACAGGAAACCTCTTGCAGGACGATGAATGAACTTATGTTACTGGAATCTTTTCCCTTTGCTGAAGTGTTAAAAGTTGATGATGAATGTTTATTTTATATTATTTAATTCGTATTTTTTTTCAGGTTTAATTTGAAGTACCCAGTTTAATGGCGTGAAGTGCAGTTAATAAATTCTCAGCGATGTCTTTTACTCACAGTATCAATTTGTTACGTTTTCTTTTCTTACCGTGTCTCTCGGTTTTTAGTGGGCTTACTGCAAACTGTTTTTTATCCCTTGGGAGTGAATCTACCACGAATTTTCCTAGTGCTATATTGCGGCCGTAAATTTCTGTAAGCTGAGGCTGGGGTAATTTTATAAGTAGGGGCTGGTTGCAGAGTAAAATGAGTTTTGCTTGGATATCAATTGAGGCTTCTTGGAACTGGGCCAATATGTGACCTGTTACAACAAAATAAGAGTGAAGTCGCATCTCGCTCTTTCCTATTTGAGGGTTTCAAAGTCGTAATGAAGCAGAAGTTATTTTTGACGTTTTGTAACATTTGGAAAGAGTAACCCTTCTATTATAATTCCAAATATTTCACAGGAACATATATTTAACGTCATTTTCTCACCATTTTTGACAATAGCATAATTCGTACCTATAGTATGAAATAGTATGCCGCGAACAAAGATACAAAGCTAGGAGAAAAGAATAAGTTATAGTTTTTACCCTATGTGTTCCATGGATACCGCTAGAAATTTCTTTTTCTGCTGAATTAAAAAAACCAATATCTGAATTTTTCAAAATTCTGATTTTACGCTCATTTTTTGGTGACAGGTCACATATAAATTCTAGCTTCTATGTGTAATAATAGTTTCTAATCCATGCCATCCTCCGACTGTGATCGCGTCTAATGTGAAATTCTGTGCATACTTCAAATGTTTTCAGTCTAATTTTAGATGGAAAAGTGGCCGAGCGCCCTCTGTTGCACGGGGCTTGGCGGTGGTCTTCGAACTTTGTACCAAGTTTTTAGTCGGGCATCCTTATGTCGTCTGCAGCAATCACACGTCCATTTTGAACTGCTGCAAGATATAATGACGACAGGGAGCCAATCCTCAAACAGCGTTAGTTTTCAGCGAAGTCTCTGAGCGGTGAAAAAGCCTTCATTTCCACCATGAAGTCAGTTTTTATTGTAATTATTGTGGCCATAATCGCGTACTTTCTGTTCAGGCCTACGACATTCACCGTGCAAAATGACATTTTCGTGTATAAATTGCCGGAAGACGTGTATGAATTTATGTCGGATCTCAAGAGGACAATCGAGAAACACTCAATTGGGTGAGTTCGTCTGTTTAATTTTATTATAGGAGCGCGTCAGAAGGGACAGTGTTCATTCCTCAAAATTTGGCAATCATTACTTTGAGAACACTTCTGTTCTTTGTTTCACTCAATTTTCAGCTCTGTTCAGTTTGTAAGCCTTGTTCTTCAGCGCTTTGGAGCCTCAATCAGTCAACCACTTTATGTTAACATGGTTAAGTCATTTTGTGAAGTTCTTAAAAAAAAGTATAATTTTTGCCTTTGGCAGTTGAAGAGAAGGGTAGTTCTCTGATATTTCGAGTGGTGAATACTAGGCCTAATACTAATAGAAAAGATTTGAAAATGCCAGAAGTTCGACATTCTGGAAATCAGGGAAAACATAAACTCATGTCTTTTCTTCTGTTCTGTACATCCTGTATCTTCAGAGGGAAATGTACCTTGATGAAACAACGAACAAGGAAGGATGGTATGAGAGAAAAGTTGTATCTGGTGGAGAAGGCGGTAGCACTGTTTTGGGATTATGAACTTCCACTTAACATGGAAATACGCTTGACATTGACAAAGTGAGTTTTTAATGCCGAACAAGTTGTATCTCAGTCATTCTACAATGCATGCAGTCAAACCTCATTAATAAGAGGTCCTTTGGACTTGGACAAATTACCTTGTTATAACAGGAACTTTGTAATTATTAAAAACGATGAAAAACAAGAAAGATTGGGCTTAAAAATTGCCTTGTTATAAGCATAATCTTACATGTATATAAACCATGCTCTTTTTAATGAGGTTTGACTGTTAAGGGGAGATTTAATTTTTAAGTCTGGTGCATGGATCCGCTGATCTTTGTGATTCCGAACTGGAAAGAAAAACAAAAGTTTTATTTTGAGAAGTCCTGGATCCACCAACCAACAATTTACCAATATTGATGTAAAAAAAAAAAAATTGCTCTGCTGTCCGACTGACGGCAAACCTCCGATTTCAGTTTTGTGAGGTTTGGGTTTTTTTTGGCCTCAAACTGTTCTTAAAAAATCCAAGCACCAACTTATCAAAAATGCTCACCTTACCAAACTACTCCCTGAAAATTGTATCCACCCATATGTTTGTTTAAAAGATTTAGTGCAAAGAAACTTACACTTAAAGCTTATAATTGCTCAGTGTGAAATGTGACAAAATCCAAAAGTAGTGATTTTCCTGGCCAGTTTTGGAAAATGTGTACATGTAAGTGAATTAGTAATCGAAGCATTTGCTTTCAAGGAAAATAGAACGAACCTTCAACCCCCCGTTTCTATTTAACAAATACAAATTCGTATAGAGTCAGCTTTCAATTTCCTGATATTGCACCGGTTTAGTATATTGACATTCCTTTTTTGTGCAAAATCAAATGCACCTCTGCAATCCTACTGTACCTTCATTTTAACTTGAACTCAATCTATTTCGCAAAATGTGCAGGCAAGTTCGCACTAAGTGTTATTTAAGGTATGTCTGGTCAAGAATTGAAATTGTCTGTGTGCCAACAGAAGTTATATTCTTTAGAATTGTTTAGTTGAATGGTTAAATGTTTGAATATTCATGGCTGAAATAGACCATTCATGTTGTCTATGGAAACATACCGACTATTGTACGATTCCTATACAAACACCGACGCTGAGGTAACTTTTTCTGATTGTGCTACGTTTTTGCCACAATCACATAAAAGTTCACACATGGCCTTCTGGCAATGGCTGAACAAGAAGATGCAGAAAAATCACAGACTCTAATTAGTGTACAGTTTGATAACAAACACTACAAGTATAAACCTTCATGAAAAACATTACATTCATTATAAAAGTGGTGTCATGATTTCTGTTACCCTCAGTATTCCAATCAAATTAAATGCACATTTTTAAGGTTTACGATAAAAGACAGACTTTCGGTGAATAAGATTACACATTAGTTACAATTGGCAACGAATACATCAAATTGAAACCCCAATCATTTATTTGTAACCTCTTTAATGCAACGTAACGCACACTCATTTATTTGAAAGATGAAAAACTAAGTGGAATGCTCATATTGCAAAAATGAAACCAGCTTTTAAGTCATTTTCAAACTCCACGCCAAATTGAATTTTGATTTTACAAATTAAACAGGGCATTTTCCAAAATTGGCCAGGAAAACCCATATTAATTTCTACTAGTATTTCCTTCAGATTTAGTGAACAAAAAGTAATGTGTGTGCAACTGATGGATTTAGTCACACACAGAAGTATGCTGAGAGAAGTCCGACTTTTGTAGAATTAATACAGAAACCAATTTGTCTCTTAACAGTCTATAATCCTCCTGAGGCTGTCAGTTTGGTATAGAGTTTACTCTATTTCATAATTGGCTGTGATTGTCTTATGCCCATATGTAGCCTCCATCACGAGATTAATAAACTGCAGGTTTTTTTGGTAAAGCTCTTTGCTCATGCCCGTGTATAAATCTACTCACTTTTCCAGACCAAGTGAAGAGCTGCGATACAACTTCAACTTCGCTCGTGGTTATCTGCTTAAAGTTAGCAGCAGAATCACCTTTGAAAGGCGTGAGGGTAGGGTACTGCCCGGGACGTTCTTGACGGAGAATCTTACAGTCACATGCCCCTGGCTGGCACAGGCTGTTGTTTCCAAGAGTCTTGAAGAGTCGCACAAGGACACCTTGATCAGCTTGAGGAATGGGTTGGAGGGGATGCCGTTACCCAAGGACAAGACAAACAAGATGAGGGAAGAGATGGAAGACAGACAGGAAGAAAGGAAGATGAGAACTGAGAAGAATAAAGAGGAGGGAACATCTGACAAGAAGGACAAACCGAGGAAGAAAGATGAAGCAAAGAAGCCATCAGATGGACAAGAGAAAAATATATCAAAGAAAGAGAAACGGGCAACTGCTGATAAGGATAAGGAGAAGCCACAAAGTGAAGACGCAAAGCAAAAGACAGTGGAAAAGGGAAAGATGAAAGATTCTCAAGCAGAGAAGCAAGCACCTACAGGCAAGCAGCCGACTGCAGATAAGAAAGCAGAGCGGGGAACATCCCAGGATGCAAAGGAAAAACCCAAACAAGCAAAGAAGGATGAAAAGGTGAAGACTACTGAGACGAGGAAGGAGGAACGCCAAGCTGAGAATGTCAAAAGAGAGGAGGATGGTGCGAAGGAGATAAAAGATGCTGAAGAGGCAAAGAGAGAAAGAAAAATTGAACGCAATGAGCAGGTTACGAAGAAGACCTCCGATAGTGGAAAGGAGGGTGCAATGGGAGAGAAGTCAGTGGAATCAGAAAACAGGAAAGCGCCAAAGGAGGAGAGAGAGAAGATTGTAAACTCAGGAAAATCTGAGCAGAAGCAAAAAGCAAAGACTGGAGGTTAAAGGTCAGGGATCAGTGTCCAAGTGGAAAATTGAACCTAGTGCTATAAAAGAATGCCTTTTTTGAAAGATTCATTCGTAACTAGCAAATAAAAGGTAATTTGGATAATACAAAAATAGCTAAACATGCACATTGTGTACCACTGTGAACACAAGTTCTGAAATTGATGCATGACTTGCAATAAATTTTTAAAACGAAACTTCATTGGAACCAGTGAGGCAGATCAGTTGAAACAAGCCTGTTATAGGATAGTGCTTTCCGACTTGTTCTCGTTCAGGCAAATTAACAAACAAGGAAAGAAATATAAAAATATTGTAAATTGTAACAATCGATGCCCAGTATTTCACTATATTTAACGATGCAATTACTTATGTGTGAATTGAAAAATAATTTATTAATTCAATGAGTGATTTTTGAAAAAATGTCTGAGAGGCTTTGAAGATCTTCTTTATAAGCAGTATTGCTCAATATAGATTTGTTTTTTATAGCAATCTGATACAGATGCTGTTAGCCTCTTTTAATTTGTATTCAACTGCAAATGGTATTCTAGAGGATCAGTGAGTTTTTCAATCATTTGGAATTCTTGCAATTGGAAATGCATCTCCACTGCTGATCATATAAAACAAGCAAGCAATGCTGTCATTTTGCATGGCCCTCTGGATGCCGATTATCACAACTCATTATTCTGTTATTTCACACGCTCTGTTAAGCATACAACAATATAGAATGTACCACCATTATCTGGGGAGTAGCTTGCAATGGACTTACATCCCTCTCCAGGGGCATTAGAAATATCAACAGTCACTTTATGCTACCAAAACAGGATATTCATTCTGGTCTGGTGGGCCACATTGCCTTGTGATAGATTTTACTTACTATGGTGACACTTTGGTGCTCCACAAGTGCTCTTGAGGTGCAAGCTTTTTACTTTGAGCACGAGGTATACATGTACATGTAGCTCAACAAATACTCCGTTGCTTTTTAACAGCACGCATGTGCAATTCAGTTACACTCAAACCACCCTAGTCGGCCTATTCGTTGAAATTGTGTACAGTTATTTTCATGTGAATGTTCCCTCTGTAATGAGAAATAAAATTGACTGTTGATTACCAGTGGTTCAACCATATTCTTAGGCCTGGCCCCAAATGGTTGACAAATAGCCATCGTTTGGGCAGTGTTAGTTGAGCTACAGTTATGTCGTTGCTTGAACCTTGCCCTCTTGTGACTCGGTCAATCATTGTGCTTTAAAGAAGTCACATCAGTGATTTAGATCTGTTAACAATTAGCATTGGTTATTTATATGGGCAACACTTCAGTTGTCTTGGAGGATTAGAAATAAGGACATTCTAGGAATGTTAAACATGTACATGTAATTAGAACAAATAAGCATAGATTTCCTTGTTGAATTCATAGTGTGCTTAGTGTATTTTTAGTAAGACAAAGTATTTTCAGTGATTGAGAACAAATTCTATCGTAATTTATAGTGTTTCATAGTACTTTATAAAGCGATGAAATGAGACTTGGAATTAATCATGTCATCATTGCTGAGAAATTTTTTAAGTTTTAAATGTTTATGAATCATGGAAATGTATGTTTAAATTATTTTACGTTTGATATCAAACCTGTTGACTGAAATTTGGTGAAAAGTTTGAAGATGTCATTGGCATACATGTACATATAGTCAAATTTTCGTAAATTATGCAACTTGCACCTAAGGTGTAAACATAATCATGTAATGGATATCGAGTGTGCTTGCAGTTTCTGATATGACATGACTCATTATATTTTTAAAAATAATTGCAGATATAGATCTGAGTCTGTAAAGTTTACATTACCGAGACTTATGTTTTGTGGTCCATAGTTTGCAGTGTTTGTAATTACCAGAATTACTATGTAATTGCCTGAATGAAATGTTTCATTGAAGTTTCAACAGAAATAAATACTTTAAAATGTTTTAAAAATTACCTTTGCTGAGAGAATACCCAGGCGTTGATGATGTTGAATTTGTGCCAGTTTTCAATTTGGCCAGGCATTTAGTTCTTATTAAAGCAATTTGATGTTTCAGAAAAAAGGAACTTGCATTTACCACCTCATCTGTTTCTCTTAAACTTTTAACAGCGTTCAAGGCTAACCCCTGTTCATCTTTTCCCCCTAATGCAAGACTCGGCCCATTGACATGTTTTTCTTGAACAAAGTAAAGAAAATGTTGGCAAGGGATCTGTCTTGCCTTTTGGGTAAAATTTGACGTTAAAAAATGACAAGAAATTAGTCTTAGATATTGGGTAAAATTTGAAATAAAAAATGACAAGGAATTAGTCTTAGGTTTTGTGTAAAATTTGGGCATTATGAGTGAAATTTGGGTAGAAAAGATAACAAGGGGTTAGTCTTGCATTTTGAGTAAAAAAGATGACAA